AGGACCTAGTCCCACTCACCACTTCCCGGCTGGAAGCCCCCCACGGCTCCCCAGTGCCCGGGAGCCAAAGACAAAGCGCCTCAGCAGGCAGCCCTCGGCTTTGTCTCCCAGGCTCCCTGCCCTCCCTGCTCATGCGTGCCCAGAGGACGCGGCGGCTCTGAGCCCCTGCATCCTCACCTACTTCGCTCCTCCACCCTCTTCCACCCATCCCTGCTCCTTTATCCGGAGGATCACCTGTTCCCCCCTAAGCCCCGCTCTCTCAGCAACCACCTCCTCTCTGAAGGCCTTCCTGGCCTCGTGCAACCTGGCTCCAGGCAGAGTGGCCCACTCCCCACCCACCCCAGCTTCTAGTTAATTCCTATCATTCCGAATTACCTGGGTTGTTTTACCTGTGTATCTCCCCCACCCTCGGGTCTTGCTTATATCTGTAGCCCTTAAAACTCTCAGGCGCTCCAGCGCGGAACAGGTTTTCAATAGATTTTCAATCAGCCGCTGGATGATTTCAGGACAAAGCAGCTAAGGGCAGAGAGGCAGAGAGGGAACACGGCCTCTGGAGCCAGACCCAAACTGAATGTTAACTAAACGTACTAAGTCTGCTCCAGCAAGTCACTGATAGCTTACTTCAAGCCTCGGGTGAACTCATCTGTCAAGTGGGAAGTCCACTGCCCAAGTCCACTGCGGAGCAGGAGGCCTGACGCTGGACATCCGCAGAGCCAGCCTCCTCCTCCTTGCATGCGCGACCAGCGGTTTTGATTTGCATTTCCCTGATGCTTAGTGAGGCAGAGCCCCTTCCAGGTGCCTGCTGGCCAACTGTTTGTCTTCTTTGGGAAAATGTCCATCCAGATCCTCTGCCCATTTTCGAATCACACTGTTTGGCTTTTTGCTATGGAGTTTTATGAGTTCTTTATATATTTGGGATCTTAATCCCTTACCGGAGATACGATTTGCAAATATTTTCTCCCATTCAGTAGGTTACCTTTTCATTTTGTTGGTGGTTTCCTGCTCTACAGAAGCTTGTTGGTGTGATGGGGTCCTGCTTGTTCGCTTTCGCTGTTGTTGCCTCCGTTTTGGGTGTGAAACCCATAAAGTCATCACCAAGACTGATGTCCTATGCTTTTAATCTCAGGTCTTTAGTCCATTTTTTTAAAAGATTTTATTTATTTATTTGAGAGAGAGAGAGAGCACAAGCAGGGGGAGCTGCAGAGGGAGAGGGAGAAGCAGACTCCTCGCTGAGCAGGGAGCCTGACACGGGGCTCCATCCCAGGACCCCAAGATCATGACCTGAGCCAAAGTCAGACACTTAACCAACTGAGCCACCCAGGCGTCCCTCTTTAATCCGTCCTGGGTTAATTTTTGTTTGTGGTATGAGATCGGGGTCCGGTCTCATTCTTTTGTATGTGGCTGTCCAGTTTTTCCAACATCGTCTATTGATGAGACCACCCTTTCTCCATGTGTATTCTTGGCTCCTTGGTCATAAATTGATTGACCATAGTGCCTGGGTTATTTCCGGGCTCTCTCTTTTGTCCCATTGATCTGTGTGTCTGGTTCATACCAGTGCCGTTCTGCTTTGATTCCTATAGTTTTGTGATATAGTTTGGAAATCAGGAAGCCTGATGCCTGCAGCTTTGTTCTTTCTCAAGATCGTGTTGGCTATTCTGAATCTTTGGGATTACATACACATTTTATTTTTTTTAAAGATTTTATTTATTTATTCATGAGAGACAGAGGAGGAGAGAGAGAGAGAGAGAGAGAGAAGCAGAGGGAGAAGCAGGCTCCCAAGGAGCAGGGAGCCCGATGTGGGACTCGATCCCAGGACCCTGGGACCATGACCTGAGCCGAAGGCAGACGCTTAACCATCTGAGCCACCCAGGCACCCGGATTACATACACATTTTAGAATTGTCTGTTCTATTTCTGTGAAAAGTGTCATTGGAATTTTGATAGGGACTACATTGAATCTATAGATTGCTTTGGGTAGTATGGACATTCACCCATGATTTCTCATCACGGCCCAACCTGGATGCCCCCTAAAACTGCACTCTGCTTAGCCTCCACCCCCTGTCACCCCCGTCAGAAGACAGCTCTCTCCCCGGAGGTCCTGGAGGATGCACATGGCTCTGGGCATGACTGCTTTGAATTGCCAAGTCTCTTCCGTGGTCCTGCCTACCTTAGGACACAAGCTCCTTGAGGGGAGAGGACGGGCTTTGAAATTTGGTGTGTGGACTGTACCATGTCCCCTCAAAATTCATTCATTAAAGCCCTAACCCCCACTGTTACTGTATGGAGAGATAGGGCCTTTAAAGAAGTAATTAAGGTGGGACGCTTGGGTGGCTCAGTCGGTTGAGCATCTGCCTTCTATCAGGTCATGATCCCAGGGTCCTGGGACCGAGTCTTGAATCGAGGCCCTTGCTCTGTGGGAAGCCTGCTTCTCCGTCTGCCGGTCCCCCTGCTTGTGCTCTCTCTCTCAACTCTGACAAATAAAATCTTAAAAAAAAAAAAAAAAAAGGTAATTAAGGTTAAATGGGGTCATAAGGGTGGGGTCCTGATTGGCTAGGACAGGAGTCCTTGTAAGAAGAGGAAGGGACACCTGGGCTAGCCCCCAGCCCGCCCTGCACGAGCGCAGACGAAGGGCCATGCGATGACACGGTAAGAAGGCAGCCATCTGCAAACCAAGATGAGAGTTCTCACCAGAAACCAACCCTGCTGGCACCCTGACCTTGGAATTCCAGACTCCAGAACAGTGAGAAAACAAATTTCTGTTGTTGATGCCCCCGCACCGCCGGTCTATGGTATTTCATTATGGCAGCTCAGGGTAATACATGTGGGGCCTCAGGGAAAGCGTCCTGGGGTGGGGGGGCGGGGGGCACACAAACCATCTAGCACGCACCTGATCCCTGCCCAGCAGTGTGCAGGGCTGAGAGGCCCCCAGACCCCGACCTCCACAAGCCCAGCCAGAGGGGAGACCTGCAGTGTGGACCTCGCCCCAGCCGCGAGGAAACAGTGGTTAACGGTGCCCCTCACAGAGCCGGGAGCCGGCAGCAAAGAAGGGACCCGCACCTGAGCCCTCCTCTGCGTCAGACAGACCCTCTGCTGGCTCGGCACCCACCTAGTGCTGGAATCCACAGCCACCCCTCCAGAGAGGTGTTCTTGCCCCATTTTCCAGATGGGGCACCTGAAGCTTAGAGGGATGGAGCGATTGCCCAGGCTGAAGCCCAGCACGAGGGTAGAGGGGACAGTCACAGCCTCAGAGAGACTAAGGTTCTCCCAGCAACCTCCATCCGACAGAGGTCGAGGCCCACACAAGAGATCCCTCCAGCTGCCAGGGCTGTGGGCCGGGCCCAGGCCTCCAGACAAAGAGCGTGGGAGTGATTCCATTTGAAAGGTGAAAACTGCTTCTGTTGCAATCATCACAAAGCGCATCAAAGTGACGGGCAGGGTTTCCAGAACCCAGCTGTGCTGAGCAGAACCAGCCACGCAGCACAGAGCAGAGGCCCGGCATCCAACGGGTCGTCACGGTACAGCGAGGCGTTTGGGGAGGATGTCGAGGGCACCTCTCAGTCTTGTCGCCAGCCCCTGGGGGCTGGCACCAGGTTAAGGCGACAGTGTTGCCGGAAGAGGGAGCTGTGGGGAGGTAAGGTCCTGGCATGTGGGTGGTGACGGTGGGGAAAGCGCTCCCCTGCCCGGGGCTGGTGGGCAGGTGGCTCTTCGGGCTGCAAGCCAGGGGGTGTCCAGACTCCTTCCTAGGCCCAGGGCAGCAGATAACCGAGCTGCGGGGACCACTACTGCAGCCCCTAAGCCAGCCGGCCCCAGCCCCGCATTCCTCTACAGCTGCCCACACGCCACGCCCGTTCCTTCTTACACACATTTGCCACGCTGGTGCCTCTTCTAGAAACGCCTTTGCCCGCCTCCTTCCACCCTGCTCGCCCTCCACGACTCCACTCAGTCTCCGCTGACATCCCAACGCCCCATGCACACGTGCACGCCAGGCCAGCCCGGCTCCCGCAGCGTCGGCCGCACCACTGTGTCCTCACAAGGAGGATCTGTTGGCAGGCCCGGCTCCCCACGCCTGGCACCTTGAGGCAAGATCCTTTTCCTCTCTGGGTTCTTGGCACCAGGAACAGTGCCTGGCACTTAGTTCTGGATTGTTGGCTTAAATCACGGTGAAATTACTAAAGGAAGATCTAGTTTCTAATCCCAACTTCTGAGACACTGAAACACCTGGCCACAGCACTTAACTTCTCTGAGCTTCAGTGTACCCTTCTGGGAAATGGGGGTAATGTTCCTTGTCCTTTATTGGCGAGCACCGAATGAGAGCAATGGGATTGGTCTCTGGTGTGGCAGGAGGTGTCAGCACACTGTGACTTTAAGAAGTCAGCGTCTATGTTCCAATAACTGCTAATAACGTTGCTTCTGATCACCACCCGCTTCCCCCAGGATGGTCCCTCCCTCCCCCAGGATTGCTGGGTTTTGCCCTAACCCAGCTTCGTTATCTGCTGGAAGGTGAAGCCAGTCCCCCTTGAAGTCCCACCCCCTTATCTCACAGATTTGTATGACCTCAGAAAGTCCTTCCAGAGGTCTGCCCCACATCCTTCCTGTTGCAGCTCTGCCCCCTTCACTCCTCATGTGTCCTAAGAGCATAATCCTGCGTAGGAATCTCCCAGGAGCCTGAAGCCCAGGCACCATACTAGGGCTTATCCTTTTGAGTTTGACATCCCCATTGCTACCGCTCTGAACCGAAGCTGAGGGAGAGACAGGGAGGGAGGCAGAGAGAGAAGAGGGAGTCCCGGTCTGGAGTGAGGGAGTGGAGGGATCGAGGTCAGAGGGCAGTCAGGACTTCCCAAAACCCAGACACAGAATGACACAAATACCCGCCACCACACCACCATCACCTTCAGCTGCCTGGCTTCCGGGGGAGGGACAAGTGTCTTACGGCTTTCCATGACGTGGGTCCTCTGCCAGGGCTAGGGCTGCGGGGAAGGCGACATTTCCTGCCCTCGGGGCCCGGGGGGAGAGAGATGAGTTGCTGAGTGTGCACATCTTTTCAGAGCACGTACACACACCTTTACACACACCCTGCTCCGGGGCTCTGTTCTCAGGCCGGCCCATGGAGCTCCCCCTGGCCCAGATATGCCCCCAAGGTAAGTAGTGAGGTTGGAGACTGTGGGTGGAGGGACATGCAGACCCCCATTACCCCTGCTGTCCCACTTCAAGGGTGAAGGGCCCCACCCCGAACCAGGGCTGGCATGGCTGACTGGCGGGGTGCCCACAGCTCCTTCTTCTCCGGGGCGCCGGTCCACTCAGCCCCGGGGACATAGGCGGGACATAGGCGGCTGGCTCTGCGGAGTGCTTCTTGGAGGGGAGGGAGCAGGAGAATGAGGCCCGGGAGGCGGAGGATCTTGGCCATAAAGAGACGTCTCGCCACCCCCCACCCCCTGCACCCCTCACTGTGGGACTCTCTGCTCCCCCACACCCTGCCTCCCTGGCCACCCAGGGCCTCCTCGGCTCTTTGCTCCTCCCCTGTGAGAGACACCCTGGGGTCCCACCTGCATTTCTCCTCTTGTGACTGTCCCTGTCCTCCAGGTGTCTGGTCAGAGGCATGCGGGGCCCCTGGGAGCCTGGAGGAGGGACAGTCCCTCCCCGAGAAACCCCAGCTGTCCTCTTTGTGCTAACAGGAAGCGGCCGAGCCCCTGCGCCTACCTTCAGCACCTTCCAGCCCGTGGAACTGCCCTGCAGGACCTACCAGGATGTGGGCCTGCTTCAGGGGCCCAGACTCCAGGCCCTGAAGGCTGAGGAGGCCCAGCCCAGCCCCAGGGTCGAAGCTGTCCGTGCTGCGGCAGGTGGGAACTCGGCTGGCACATCGTCCTCCTCAGCTCCCATCCCCCCAGCGGTGAGGACTTGCAGATGGACCAAGGCCAAGGGGGGGGGGGGAAGCAGGAATCATCTGGGGCTGCCAGCAGGGCTAGGGCATGGACGGAGAGAGGGAAAGGAGATGGGGAGTATCTCCTTCCTTCACTATAGTGTCCCCTCACTGTCCTGGGACGCTGGGGCTGAGTCCGCGGGTGACCAGGGCACAGGGTACCGAGTCCCAGAAGCAGGCATCTGCATCTCCGTCCGTGGCCTCCACCTGCCCAGTGCATCCAGGCCTCAGTCCCTCTCACCCAGCGGTCCATTAGGAAGTCCTCCCTAGGATCCAGCCCAGCCCCTCCTACGGGAGGCTGAGTCCTCCCTCGTTCTGTCCTCTGGGGTGACAGGCAGCATCATGTCCCTCGTCCTGCAGGCCAGGGAATGATTTCCTGTCTTTCTGGAAGGCCTCACACTCATTGAAGCTCAGGTTAAGAGCTCACTGCTCCTGGGTTAAAAGGCCCAGAGCGAAGTGGACAGAAATCCCCTGGAAACCAAAGCAGGTGGAGCTGAAGAAGGGGATTTAAGCTGGACCCTGAGAGGCACTTTCTGGGCAGTTATGGCCTAAAATGGGCAACTGGGATGGGGAGCAGGGGTGAGGCTGAGGAGGCGGTGGCGGGATGGCATCAGGAGGAAGCCCATGAATCATGGTTCTTTCCTCCTCCTTGAACTCTTCCCCTGTTCCAGGCATCTCCCCAACCCCCAGGGGCTGCCTCCAGCCCAGAGGATGCTGGGAAGGCCCAGGAGGGGCTTGAGGAAGGAGGCCAGTCCCTGCAGGCCGAGACCCGGGCTTGGTTCCAGAAGACCCAGGCCCACTGGCTCCTGCAGCACGGGGCAGCCCCTGCCTGGTTCCATGGCTTCATCAGCCGGAGGTGAGTCACAGCGGCAGAAAGGGGCCCAGAGAGGAGCTGGGCAAGTCCTGGGTCCCGGGCCCAGCAGCAGTGCGTGGAGGCTGCAAGTCCAGCCCTGAGTCCTGGAGGCTCCCAGGCCAATCTCTGAGGCATCTGTCCTGGGGGAGGTCACGGCAGAGGCTACAGCCCGCTCGCTCTGGGGCCTCTGCTTCCATTCCTGTGTCTTGGCCTCTAGTCCTCATGGTTTCTCCGGTCTACCAGCCTTCCTTGTCTCCCTGCTAGGCCGTCCCTCCCGCCACATTTCTCGGTGGCTTTGCTTTCCTCTTCTCCAGCCTGTAGTCAATTACCACCCCAGGGCACCCCCACCAGGCTGCCCTCCAGGATGAGGCCGCAGGAGGATGCAGGGCTGGGAGCTCTCCGGGGTGGGACCCCTGGCCCCTGTGCTCTCCAGTCCCTGCGCGGGACAGCCGACCCACACATCCTCTCTGCCATCCCCACCCTCCTCTGACACCTGAACCCGCTGGGCTGGGGGCTGGGGTCCGCCGGAGAGCCGGGGACAGGCCCGAGGCTGGAAGAGTCTTCTCCATCGCCCACAGGGAGGCCGAGAGGCTGCTGGAGCCCAAGCCTGAGGGATGCTACTTGGTGCGGTTCAGCGAGAGCGCTGTGACCTTCGTGCTAACCTACAGGTGAGGGGCGGGAGCCCGGAGGCGGAGCTTCCGCCTAGCGGCGGGGTAGGCTGGGTGCTCCTGACGCGGGAGGGACAGGGGCCGGCTGGGAGGGAGGGCCTGGCACGGCGTGCGGCTCTGATCCGACGGGCGCCCTCCAGGAGCCGGACTCGCTGCCGCCACTTCCTGCTGGCCCAGCTCCGGGACGGGCGCCACGTGGTGCTGGGCGAGCACAGCGCCCACGCGCGGCTGCAGGACCTACTGCGACACTACACTGCGTGCCCGCTCAGCCCCTACGGGGAGACGCTCACCGAGCCCCTCGTCCGCCAGGTACGCCCGGACCCCGGTACGCTGGGACCCCGGCCGCAGGAGCCGCCTTCCCGTCAAGCCTTGTTGCATTTTTACAACCACAGGCACAAATGGAGACTGGCCTGGCCTGTGTTCCGGGTGGAATTAAGGTCAATGCTAGACACAGCCTGTGACCAGAGCTACTTCCCCCCCCCACCCCCCACCACCCCCGTTGGTCCCCTTACCATCTCCATCCCCTGTTCCTCACCCAGGGAACCCCCCAGTCCACATTTCTGTGCCCCTCCCCCACACATCCTCCACCAGCACCAGCTTGCTTTGTCCTCCTGGATCCCCTGGCCACCCCCACCCACCATCCCACTGCACCAAATCCCTGAGGCCTCGTTCTTGCCCAGCAGACGCCTGAGCCTGCAGGACTTTCCCTGAGCACTGAAATATCAGACTCTGGAAACAAGGACCCACACCCTCAGTATAGCCCCATCGTCAAGAAGTTGCAGAACGTGACCCCCACGCCGAAGGAGGGGCCCGGGGAACAGAAGGAGGTATTGGGCTGCAGGGGCTGAGGGAGGGGAAGGGGGTGCGGCAAAGGGAGGGTCCAGCGCTGGGGCGGGGCCTGCGGGAGGGGAGGGGCCCCGGGGCCTGCAGCCTCCGCCCGGCCTGGGTCGCTCTGACGCCCCCTCCTCCCCCGGCCTGGCCTTCTCACCCCGTCTCCCCAGCCGCCCAGGCCCAAGCCTCCCGTGGCCGTCAAGCCTCAGCTGCCCCCCGAAGTCTATACGAGCCCGGCCCCGAGGCCGCGCCCGCCCCCGCCCCCCAAGCCCTCCAACCCCATCTACCAGGAGCCTGACGAACCCATCGCCTTCTATGCCATGGGGCGGGGCAGCCCCGGGGAAGCCCCCAGCAACGTCTACGCCGAGGTGGAGGTGCCGCCGGGCGCTGGGGGCCAGCCCTGCGGCCTCGGGCACCTGGCCCTGCGCAAGTGCAGGTCCAGGCCCGTCGCGGGAGGCCAGGTAAAGGGGCGCAGGGAGGAGGCGGGCCGCTGGGAGGAGGTCCTGAAAGACAGATTGGGGAGCGCAGCGAAGGTGTTCAGAGTGGATGCCGGGCGTCAGGGTGAGGGTCAGAGGTCTGAGGCCGCATGGGAAAGACGGAGGCTCCGTCCGCCGGTGGCCCTTTCCCGGGCCCAGAAGTGGCTTCCTGTCCTCTCCCTGCAGTCACGGGACCGGCCTCCCCTTGGTCAACCCCCTCCACTTCTCAGAGGAAATGGTGGCCCAGGCCTCGGTCTCGCCCCCCCTCCCCCCGGGGAGCCTGCATTTTTGTCCGTGTCCCTCTCACCCAGTCCGGCCACCTGTACCCTGTCCTGTGCCACCATCTTGGCTCCAACCATCATCCTGTCTTCCTGGTTGGAACTTGGGCTTCTCCTGCTCTGGCTCCCTCCGCTCCGCCTTCACAGGCCCGCCATCCTGAGGAAGAAGAGCCCTTGAAGTCCCTCGTGTCATCTCAGATGAGCTCAGGGGAGGGGGCACCTGCACACCTGCTCCTCCAACACTCCCCCCCCCTACTCCCCCCCCCCCCCCCCCCCCCTCCCCCCCATCCCCCAGGCCTGCCTCCCCCCCTGAGCCTGTACCCCCACCCCCCACCCCCTGCTGCGGTGCTAGAGATGAGCCAGCAGCCCACCCCTGTCCATGCCCACTGCCCTCCAGGCTCCCGCTCAGCCCCAGCACCCCATGGCCTCCTGACCTCCACACAGCAACCCGCTCTCACCCTTCTCCCCAGACTGCCCCTCCTCTATCTCCCAACCAGACTGATGTCTCTCCAGCCACCTGACTATCCAAGCCAGAAGCCCCAGGGCTCCCTCGACATCCCCGCCCCACCCCGACTCCTCATAGGCCCCGATTCCTGCTGGGTCCCTTTCCCTGGTTTCAGCCTCATCATCCCTCATCGGGATTTTCCAAGAGTTTCTTAACTGGTCTAACCACCAGTCTTTCCACTTCTGATTCACTCTGCCCCAAGGAGGCTAGAATGGTCTTTCTAAAACAGCTACCTGGCCCACGCGGCTGTCTATAGTGGTGGAGGCAGAGGACCACCTCCTCAGCTGCTCCATCCTCCCAGAGCTGTTCACGTCTCTCTGAGCACACCCTCCCACTGCCCGGTGACCTTCTAGTCATCCTTCAAGACCAGCTTGCCCTTCTCCCTGCACGCTTCCCAACACGACCACAGAGGCCATCCACTGTGCTTTATACACACCTGCTGCATCACTGATCACCTGGGACACCTGTCTCCCCTCTTCCCCAGCAGAGTGCAAGCTGCCTGAGAGCAGGGGCTGGGACGTATTCATCTGTCTCCAGAGCACCCAGCACAATGCCTGGCACAGAGCAGGTGCTCAGAAAATGGTTGCTGAATGAATGAGAGCGGTTTAGACCTCCTCTGTGCAGGCCAACATCCGTTAAGACCAGAGGACAGCCCTTGAGGCTGCAGGTAGGCCTGAGAGGCAGAGGGTAGAGGATGTGACCTCGGATCATCCTTCTCTCTGCAGATTCCAGGTGGCCGGCAACCGCACTCTGAGAACTCTGTGCCTGGACAAGGCCCTCCCATGCCCCACCAGCCCCTGCCCAGCTGGGGGCACACCCTCCCCCACAAGCTTTCTAGACAGAGGACAGAGGACAGAGGACAAGCGTGGCTTCCCCTGGGGCCTCCTCAGTAGCCGGGTGAGTCTGAACTGGGGGAGGACAGCCCAGGATACCGGGTCTGCAGACTTTTGCACACCAGATGCCCTTCTCAGGAAATGTGTGTGGAACAAGCCGTAGGCGATCAGAGCTAGCAAGGACCTCGGCCATCACCTGTTGCGAAGATAGTGCAAAGGTGTCATCTTGCATGCCAACTGCCATCCATTGGTCGTGGCTGCCTGGAGCACTGCCCTGGGAAGGACGCTCGGTCATCTCCACACTCAGCAGAAAAGAGCACCGTGATTGATTAGTGATGTCTGCTGTGGGCAGGGAGGCAAAAGGAGCAGTGTCTCCTTTGCCCTTACTGATCCAGGCCAAGTCCCTGGCGGTGCAGATAAGGAGACAAAGCCAGAGAGGGGTAGTGACTCAGCCAAAGCCAAGGACTAGAACCCAGGCTTCATCGTTCCGGTGTGGTGCTCTCTTACCCCGCATCCTCCTCTGCACAGGACACGTCAGAGATTTCCTCAGGCAATCTGGCTACTTTCCAGAGTTCCACAGCACGGAGGCCTGGGTGCCGTTTCCCTCCTCCAGATCCCAGCTTAGCCCTGTTTCCTGGACAGGTCTGCCCCCCGCCCCCGAAAGAAGCCTGGAGTTTGAGGAGCAAAGGTGGACTCAGCTCCCTTTTAGGGGCACACGCACTGGTTCTGTCCCTGAGGGTCCGGCGGCTCGGTGATCCAAGGGCCTCTGAGGAAGTGTGCTAGGCTGGCGCTGCCGCCTCCCACCGCCCTGGCTTCTCCTCTCAGAGTCTGATTTCCTTGGCCCTCTGAGCCTTTGGGTCTGGGCCTTGGTCCAGTGCTGCTGTTGTCTGAGGAAGGGTTTGGTGAGAACAGATGTTAGAACTTGTTTGTTGATTCTTGTCTGGCTAATAAATCATCGCCAACCACCTCTCCCCACAGGGATCCAAGTACTCCAGCCTCCTCCTGTCTGTCTCACACACGTTCTCTCTTTCCCCTACCGTGGAAGGCAAGGGGTTGAAATGCCACTGCAGTGAAGGGAGCGGGTCTGGGGGTTCCGAGATACCGGGGCAAGGGTCACGAATCTGGGGGCTGGGGGGCTGCAAGGCAAGAAACCGCGAAGTCTCTCTTGGCTGGGCTGGGCAGGTGGCCAGGGGCAGTGGGGTGGCTGCATCACCTGGGGGACACCAGGAAAGAAAGAGGGGCAGGGAGGAGAGTGGTTGAGGGGCAGGCCCTGCACCCCCTCCCCAACTCCGCTACCAGTGCAGGACTGGGCGGCCTCCCGCAGTGGCTGAGAGCCTGTCTTCCCAGCCTCTTGGCCTTTGGCCTTGCCCCAGTCAGGACCCCATTCCTCCCCTGCCCCTCTTGTGAGGCTTCTTCCCCTCTCTACCCAGACCCACTTCAGGAGCTGCCACCCGCCCTGCGCAAAGCTCTGGGCTTCGACCCCCTGGAGGAACCTGCCTTGGGGCTTGTTTTTCTCTCAGACTGGCTCTCTGAGGCCGGGCCGCGGTGTGCCCCTGAGGAGCGGCTCGAGGCTCTGGGTGCTCCTGTGCTCCCGTCGGCGCAGCCAGTCCTTATACTCTCTGTCCCACGAGAGCCTAGTCAAGACAGTCCGGTCGGGCCCCCCCCCCCCCCAAGGGGGCCGAGAACCTGCTGAGGCCCAGAAATCCCGCAGACCCTCTCCTCAAGCGGCGCTCCCCGGACCGAGGTGTTGCGGGCGGCGGCCACGCCACCCCCAGCCTGGCAGCGGCACCAGCCCCCAGGATTAGTGCCTCCCCCCGCCTGCCCAGCCCGTGTTCATCGGCTGAAGGAGAGCTTCGGCTGCTGAGTCAACAGTCGGGGTTCCACTCCCTTCTGTCTGCAGGTCTCCTGAGCAAGAGGAGAGACGGGGAGCGAGTCGGACGGGAGGGGAGGGCAGGGGAGCAGAAGGCTGTCTCAGAGCAGGCTTGGGGGGGCGCTCCTGCGGGAGCGGAGGGGGCAGAACAAGAGGCTTACTGTCAGAGCTGGAAGTTAGGGTCTGAAAACGGAATTTCCTTATACCTGGGCATACAACGGGCCGGTGCAGGGAGGGGGCAGAAATGCCTAGTGACCCCCGTTGGTGTTTCTGAAGGAGCAAAGAGGGGAGCAGCAAAGTTCTCCCTGCCTTGGCAGCGCCACCCGGCTGGGGGTTGGCTTGCCCGAGGGGTGCTGGGAGAATCGGGCAGTGGCACCAGCGAGAAGCCTGGGTGCTGTTGTGGCGTGGTGCTGGCTAGTGGCATGTGCCCTTCCCCTGCGCCACTGGCCCCCACGGAGCACCTCCTTGCTTGCACCCGGGGCGGCTGCACGGTCAGTGAGAGGCTCGGGGAAGCAGGACTGCTGGGGCTCCAGGGCACGGTGGGCCCTTTGCGGCTGCTTTTCTTTTGGGTTCCACCAAATAGGAAACTGAGGTCTGCAGAGGGGGGGTGACAGGGAGCTGGAGGGAGTCAGGCCCACATCCAGTCAGCCCAATCCCGTGCTCCCCGGGTACCAGGGGCCCCTCCCAGGCCAAAGGATAAGACCCCCCCCACCCCCCACCCCACCCCCCTCCCCGTACTCGCAGGGCCTCCAGCTGTAGGCCCGGGACCCAAGACCCGGGTGGAGTAAGTCTCCCCTGGTCACCTCACCCACTGGCACCCCTGCATCATCCCACCCGCTCCATTCCCGAGCTGCAGCGGGGCGCTGTGGGGGGTGCTGCGGGGGGGGGGGCCGGGGGGGGGGGGTGCGGGGGGGGGGGTGCGGGGGGGGGGTGAGCCGGCATGGTGCAGGGGGGAGCTGAGGGGGGCCGCTGAGCCGAGGTGCTATGGTGGGGTGCTGCGGGGGTCCGCTGAGCCGAGGTGCTGCGACTGGGCGCTGCGGGGGGCGCTGCGGGGGGTGCGGAGCCGGGGTGCTGCGACTGGGCGCTGTGGCCCGGCCAGGATGGAGAAGCTGAGGAACTCCTACAGGAGAAGGACTGGGGCAGTCTGTGCGGCAGGCAGCTCTTCCCCAGCCAGGGACCGCGGTGCCACAGGGGAAGGGCCTTTCCCAGCTGGCTCCTTCTGCCACGGTCCCTCCAGCCCTCCCCCTGCCCTCCACACAGGGCTTTCTGGGGCTCAGCGCACTCAGAGCGGAGAGAGGACAGTTCCTCGGCCCAGTCTGGACCTACAGAAGGCTTGCGGGGGGCACAGCTCTTCCCTCCACCACCACGGCCGACCTGTCGGCTCTCTGCACTTTTCCCCTGAGCCGCCCCCTTCATCCTGTGTGCTCCCTCAGCTCACCCAGTACACGCTCAGGGAGGCGCCCTGGAAGTCTGGCTCCGGGGCAGGGGGTGACCCCTTCTGTCCTGGAGCACCGCGCACAGCGGTTGGACTGGGGCCCCAGAGCCGCTGAGGCCCCGCCCTCAACTACCTCTGTTGTAGGACATCTGTCCCCATCTGAAACAAAGCTGGGCAGAGGAAGAGGAGGCCAGCAAGGCTAGGAGCAGGCTGCACCGTGCACTCCGGCACCCTTGGGCACAGGCCAGCCCCTCCCGGGGCCCCCCGGGGAGGCCTGGATCCATTCTGACCGAAGCCTCTGCCCTTCCTCCCTCGGCCCCTCGGCCGGTGCTGCCATAGCAGCTTTAGCCAAGTATCATTCCTGTTCCTCGTTCTTCCCACCGTCCTGCTCTGTCTTCCCTTTGCTGTTTATTTATCGGAACTTGAGGCTACTATTTCCAGGAAGCCTTCCCAAATGAGGACTGTCCATTTCTAATCTGCATTTCTCTTGGCGCCCAGGAAACTACATCCACCAAATAAAATGTTACCTTTGGTAGGACTAAGAAGTGGCTTTAAAAAAAGTGGTGTAAGCTATTGCAGAGCACAGAAGTGGGAGGCCAGAGGCTTACAGACAACTGGCCCAAGTCCATCCACTTCCAGAAGATGCTGGGACCCTCCGTGCCCAGAGCCCCTCCAACTCCATCATGCTGCAAGCCCCTCGAGTGAGGACGTAGGACTCAAGTCCCAGGGGCGTGGCAAGCCAGGAGGGCAGGGCTGCATCTGCAGCGTCTTGGGTGCAGCAAAGATCCTCGGGATCTCAGACTTTGGGCCCTGTGGAGCCTACCTCACCACCTATGACACCCCAGGAGGGTGACCTCGGCCGCCGGCCCCAGTGCCTCTGAGGACCGTGGAAGTGGCGGTGGGTTGCTGCTCCTTCCCGAAGACTGGCTGGATGCACGGATGTGGACCACTACAGCCCCAGTGTCCCTGTGGGATGCAGGAGCCCTGTCTGGCTCCAACCCGAAGTAGGTCAGATTTCAGATAAGTGGGTGGTTTTCCTGTAAGTGACGAAAGCCTCCCCTGTACTTAATGAGAAACAGACTCCTCAACTTACCCAGCACATACGACTGGGGGGCACGGTGAGACCCTCCCTCCTGCTGCCTCCCTCTCATCCCCAGGTCCCCACACCACACACTTCCAACTGCCCCCGTGGCCGGAACCTTCCGTCCGTCACCAGGGCTGTCAGTCCTTCCTCCCAGCGCTTTCCTGTTGAGAAGCCTGCAGCAGCTGGAGGTGAGCTGCTGCGTCCAGTCAGCTCCCCCGGGGCAGCTCCCCTGGGCCGAGCACCAGACGTTTCTCCGCAGGACTCTAACAAAACCCCGGTCGCAGGAGCAGGAAGCCGCTGCAGCACAGCCCTACTGGAGCCCCAGTGCCCTCGGCAACACGCTTCATGGCGGTGTGCACGAGGACCCGCACGGTTCTGGTACCAGGGTGTGGATTTCCCACCCCTCCGGGAACCCGATGCTGCTGGTGGGCATCCCAGTGCAGAAGCGTGAACTGAGGCCCGTGACCCTGCCACCCCCCTCCCTCTCTAGCATAAAGCTCAGGGTGCAGAAGTCTCCAAGGATATCTGTCTAGCCCCCCAGCCCACCACAAAGCTTCCAAACCAGTCAAGGCCAATGGCAATCAGTGTGTACGCACATCCTCTTCAGGGACAGACGCTCGCCACTTCTCCTGCTGGACTGAATTTGCTAACGACTCTCTGGTGTCACAGAAAGAACCTCGACTTCCTCTCGTCTTCAAAGATACCTGGGACCAGCAATACTTTCCAGATTTGGGACCACAGGCCTCTGCCCTATGCAAAGCTGCACACATAATTCCTAGGATCTTCAATGGCCGTGGACCCAGCTTAGAAGGTCGGCCCAGAGGAAAAGGCAAAGCCATCGCTGAGGCAGCTCATGACGGTTCAGGGGGTGCTCTACACAAGGGTAACGTCAGATGCAGGAAAGGGAGAACAAGTGAGAAAGATCCAGAATGGAAAAACGAGACCACACTAAAAAGTAGGAAAGGGGTTAGGGCAAGCAACGTCTGTCAGACTGAATGTTTTATTTCAACAGACATCCCTGGTTTAAAAAAAAAAAAAAGTGGAGGGAGGGGCTTCCCACTTCATCACACCCACCAGGGAGCCCCCTTCCCGTCCAGGAACTCAGAGCCCCATCTGAAGCATCACTTGAGTCTTTGCTAGCTCCGAGACAGAGGAGCTGAATTTTCTAACTTCTGTTAAGAAAAATCTATCAAATGTGTTCATTCTCGCAGAGGCGAGGGCCGGGTCCTCAGAGACAGAGACCTTGAGCTTGGAGCAGCGGGGTCCCCGAGGTGAGACCAGGCGCCGGGCAGCAGGAGCCCCAGGAACGGTCAGGTCCAAAGCCCTAGAATCCATACTTGGCTTGGGTCTGCCGGCGGCTGAGTTTGTTCTCCGACCAGGTGTTCTTCAGCTCCAGCTCCCGCTCCTTAGCCTGTGGCGAGGGACACGGGTGAGGTGAGCCGACTGGGGTGCTGACGGGCCTCTCGCTCACCTCTGCAAGCTTCCCAATCTAACATCTTTCTCCCCGGAACAGTTATGGTGAAATAGCAAATCCCCTGAAAGACTTCATTTTCTCTTACTTAATTAGTCTAGGGAAGACCCTGGGAAAGCAGAGAAGAAA